AAAACCACGGTTACCTTTTAAACCCAAAAAAAACACCCCCCCTATAATCTATTCCTGTCCGTCCCCACCAACCAAAAACATTTTTCCCCCCCCCCCCCCCCCCCTGTTTTTTTTGTTTTTTTCGTTTACAGTTTGTACATTTAGATTATAAGATCATTTTTTAGTAAAGCGATTTCTACAAAATTTTTCTTGTATTACTTTGATAGTAGGTTGATAAGGTAGAAATATTTCACGGAGTTTCACATGTTTCTTTTTTACAAATTCTTTAATTCCAGGATCTACTTTATTTGTGACTGTATCAGAAAAAAACTGCACTTCGTAGCAGAAAAGAGTATTCTCTAGTTATTTTTCGACAGACAGTATATTCAAATACTGTGCCGAATACCAAAATTTAAAAAGTTTAGCAATATGTCAGATTTGACAAAATTTTTATATACATCGAAATGGTTTAATTGTACAAGCAATTCTAGATCCTATGTTTGTTAATTTTAGATCCAAGAAAAAATAAGTCGGTTATTGTGTGGCCGGCACTCTTTCGGCCTTTCTCTCACACTACGTATTTATCTCTCTCTCTCTTCCAAAGATCATACCAAAAATAACTCTTTTTCTCTTTCACTTAATAATATCTCAAAAAAAAACAATAAAATGGTATCATTGTCTATGATCCATTTTCGTCTTTCATTTTAATATTTGTCTCAGTCTCTATTTTCTTTTTCTATCTCTCATATTTTCTACTGTTTAATTATGCAACAACAATCAAATGATATGAATTATCATACATTGCAAATGATGAGTGATGAAAAATATCCAAGTGAACATTTATTATTTGAACCGTTACCATCAATTGTGTCTAACAGAGATTATGAAAACAATAACGATAATAATATTGAACATTTTCTGAATGATGAAGATGATGACTATATGCAAAAAGGTCATCCATTAGATGGTTTAGAAATTAAAGGTATTTGTTTTAAATAAAAAATTGTTAAGATAGATCCTAGATGTATTCATCATATAGAGAAACAGAGAGGGCGAGAGAGAGAGAGAAAAAAGTATTGTTTTTGTTATTTGTAAATGGTATATTGACTCTTTGAATAAGAATGTTTTGTGTTTTCAGGTCATGTCAAGGTTTTATCACCCGTTTTATGGTCGTTGACAAATATTCGTTTTCTCATTATGAACAATAATGAGTTAAGTCGCCTTCCACCGGGTAAGATTATTGCGACAGAGACGAATTGTATTTGATTTATAAACATCTTGTTTGTTGTATATAGAAATTGGAAATTTAACAAAGCTTATTCATTTGGATTTATCTAAAAACAGATTAAGGACTCTTCCAGCACAAATTGGTATGTATTTGTTTACTATTTGTTTATCGTTTCATTGAAGAAAAAAAAACTCTATTTATTCGATAAATAAAAGGAAATTTGGTACATTTAAAACGATTGTATTTGGAAAATAATCAATTGAAAAATTTACCCTATGAACTTGGAAAATTAAATATTGAAGATATTGGTAAGAATAATATTTAAAAATATTGTGTTAACTGTTCAATAATTATGAGTTTTTCTGTTTTAGGTTTAAAAAATAATCCATTAAGTATGTAGTTTTACATTGTCTATACCATTGTTATGCTGAATAATGTGATTTATCATAGGTGATGAAGTTCTAAGCTTATTTGCTCGACCGTATGGAACAAGTGAAATTATGAATTATTTAAGAGAAAAATGGAAAGAGTTCAATTCATTTCCCAAAGTTTCATACAAAGTAAGTAACAGATCTTACGAGGGAACCTCTTAAGATGCCCCCGTCTTATTTCAGTGATTTATACATGGATCGATAGACCATGGTGAAGTAGTAAGAAGCCTAAAAGAATTTTCTCCCATGGCTTTTGAAGACCCAGTTTTCAGAAACTCTAAAAACTAATATTTAAAACCTTTCTTAATAAGACATGATTGTAACCCACAAATTTCTGATTAAAATGAGATATCTCCCAGTTCTACACGACCTTTCTTTGCAAAGTTATAGAATTTATAAGAAAAGCCCTTAATGTTCATTGTCAGCTCAGCTCAAGGCTAGAGAAATAAGAAAAAAATTAACTTAGGGCTTTTCTTGTAAATTCTATAACTTTGCAAAGAAAGGTCGTGTAGAGCTGGGAGATATCTCATTTTAATCAGAAATTTGTGGGTTACAATCATGTCTTATTAAGAAAGATTTTGATTATTTTTTAGCGTTTCTGAAAAACCAGTGTTTCAGAAAACCTGATCTTCGAGAGATATGAGGGAAAATCCTTTTAGGCTTCTTACTACTTCACCATGGTCTATCGATCCATGTATAAATTATTGGAATCGGAAGGAGCATCTCAATAGGTTCCCGCGTTAGAATTATTGAGATGAGAAAAAACGTTTAAAAACGTCTTTGCAATCGTTACATTAACTGAAACTCTGATTGTCATTTAGATGTCGTTACCTTGGAATAACAACGATGATAACAATAATAATAATAACAACAGCAATACAATTATGTTAAGCGGTTAAAAAAATATCATAGACATAATAATGTTTTACTTGCAATCGGTTTTATCACAAAAAGAGTCCTTAATAATCGGTTTTATTATATCTACTGTATGCAAAGGTCACTTTGCCCCTTTTTCTTTATTTCTTTTCTTTTAATTTTTCTTTCGCTCAATCTACATAATTTTAGTATGTCTGGTGCTTCACAATCAAAAAAAAAATATGCAAAAAAAGAACCCACAAGCTATCAACATTGAACATTGTTTTCTTTTACTACAATGTGAATGAGAAGTGATTTTTATTTCATTATCAGATTTTTAAAGTCAGCCAAGTTTTTATCTCTTCTTGTTTAGAAATAGACTGTTGGTTTTGTTTTTATTTATTTACTGTGTTTTTTCTATGTTTATTGCCACTATCTTCCCTGATGATATTGATCATACTAACAACTATTTTAAGTGACTGGTGCTTGTTGTTTCTTTATGTTGTTGTTGTTTTTCTCGTTTAAACAAAGCATTGTGTGATCATTTGTTTTTTGTTTTGTTTTTTTTGCTTTTTATTTTGAAAATATTTGCAAGACAACTAACCAACTATTTCCATGTGAAAACTAGTAAAAACACACCTTTGCTCAACAAAATAATAATGATAACGAAGAAAAAAAAAATAGTTGATTTTTACTTTTGTGTTTTTTTTCCCTGACAGTATTCTTTATTATATTGAAAAAAAAAAGTATTGTTTTTTTTTTTTTTTGTTACTGCTATTATTATTTTTCTTTAATCACATTATGAAACAACACAAATAAAAAAATTATGTACAAAAAGATGAAATTTTTTAAGCGTACAATATCTTGATATGATCTTTTCATTCAACAGAATGTTTACAGACAAATCTTCGTTGTTTATCTATTTTAGATCTAAAATATTATTAGAGTTGTATAAAGTAAAAAAACTAACTTTATGTTTTTTTTGATTTTTGTATTATAAAAACAAAATATTGAAATAAATTACACAACGTTAATTACATATTTCATTTGTTTTTAACGTGTTCACTTTGTATTCTTCTTCTTTATTGTTAAAAATAGCATATTTTGTGTTCATGATTCATGTTATTTTAAAATGTTGTGATTATCTTCTTAAAAATAACAACTTATAATTGTTTATTATTTATAGTATATCTATAATATTCGGTAAGTCTATTTTAAACATGTTTATCATATAAATTATTTCTCATAACGGGTGTTCCAGAATAAATCGGTTGCTTAGTATTTTGCTCATATCTTAGTTGAATTGTATCCCCTAAGCTTTGTTGTTGTCTTAAAAGATGTGCCGTAAAATTCTCTACAAAAAATATATTAAACATTTTTCTATATATCGTAAAGATGAAAGAATATAG